TGATGAGTTAATTCCTCAAGAATACATTAAAGGGTTTGCTCCTAATAAATACTGATTCAAAACACATGAAGCAAAATTAACAGAAATAAAAAATAATCTTTTTCCAAAATTGATAAAATTAGACACCCCCATCAATAAGAAGATTTGAGCAACACTGTGAAACAACGTGACTTAATTGATATTTATAGAATTCTGCAACAGCTGCAGAATACACATCCTCTTGAGTGACATGTGAGAACATATGCTGGCCATAAGGCAATTTTCAATATATTTCAAAGGACTGAAACCACACTGAGTAGTTCTCTAATCGTAAAGGAATTAACCTAGAAACAAACAATAAAAAGATCACCAGAAAATCTCCAAAGACCTGAAAAGTACATGCCATTCTAAGAAGTCTGGGCTCTATCCTATAGTACTAGTGGAGCTATTCAAGGTTTATGCAAGGGAATGATACATTCAGATATAATACATTCAGATTTGAACTTTTAAAAAATAACTTTCATTGAATATTTTAAAAATGTAGCAGAAGAATGACTGAACACACTCACATACACAAAGGGGAATAAACCATAATTCATGTAAAAAATGAGGAGAAACTGAATTAAGGTACCTGAAATAGCATTGAATCAAGATATTTTCAAATGCAGAATCAAGGGGACTTGGTGACCAATTAATTACACGTGATCTGCAAAGCTAGTTAATCCTAACTAACTTTGATGACTAGACAAATAGGAATGCTACGTATGGAGACAGGAAAAACAGGAAGAAGCAGTTTCTGATGGGTACAGGAACTAGAAAACACAGGTGTGCATTACAGGCTCTCCCTTTAATGCAAGAACATCAATTCTAACTGCTGCAGCTTCTTACTGTTTGGTTCAGGGATATAACCCAACTCCCCTTCCCAGCTCACTTAATTAATATTCAAGTTCCTTCTTGTTTGCTCTGTGGGTTCTGCACACTGATACGTGCTTTTCCATTTGACTATTTGCTCTTCTTTAGTACTGTCTAGTCTGGTTTTCAACTGGATATTCCATTCACACTTGGATCTGCTTTTCAGCTCACTCTCCAGGTTTAGTAACCAGGTCTTTGAACTGTTTTTTGGCTTGACCCACGTGTCCTGAGGACTCTGCTCCTCATACCTGCTCACTGGCTCATAGACAATGCAAATATAGATAAACACAGCCTCATCCCACCCCTATTCTAGATTCTTGCTCAGTTTAGTGAACAATCCATCTAGCTTCTGCCTATCAAGGAACAACTTTGGACAATAAGTTCATTTGACATTGAGTTTGAGGTCTTTGTGAATATCCAAGTGGAGAGATACAGAAAGCAGGTGGGAAAAAATGAGCCTAGGGCTCAGGAAAGAGACCCAGTAGGAGATAAAGATTTATGATCATCAGCAAATAGGCTGTAATCAAAATCACATGAGTGGATGAGCTTAAGGAGACTATAAAACAGAAGTCCTTAATCTGATAGGCTTTAGGGGCATCTATAAATCCACTGAAATTGTGGGTAAAATTCTGTGTATGTATGTGTCTACACTTCTCAGATACAGATCCATAAATTTCATCAGATTCTCAAAGGTCTATAGCTCTAAAATTATTAAAAACCTATGTGGGAGGGAGATGGCTAGAATGTAACCTAGAGTGCACTCCTTACTAAAATGTGCTACAATTGTGGGATTAGAGACCATGGTGGGAAAGGGTATGGAATATGTTAGCATTTCATTTCCAGTTTACCATCTGAGTCACAGCAACCATGAAGCACATGATTTTCTATTCAAGATTGGGCAACACGTCCCCAAAATACACTGACTCAGACACCAGTACTTCTAGATTACCCAAAATTGTATGAAAACTAGAATTTTTAGGCCTAGAGCTTTGGATTCTATATTCCCAGTCAAAACGTGAATTTCTTCCCCACTCCCATCCCATAAATAAAGGGCACAATCTCCGCAGCCACCTTCTTTCTCTGGAGTCCACCTCATGTCACAGCTGACAATCGAAGATCACTTTTTAAGCATTACTTTATGAAACTTCATGATCATCAATGCTGGATATATTAGCATCTGAGTTTTTACAGGCAAAAAGCTCTGAAAATATATAATCCAACCCCACAAAACAAGGATGTCAGCTTGTATGCATTATCACAAAGTGCTCAAAAATGCAATTATAGTTCACACTTTATCTTTTTTTCCTCAAAATTATTTGTCACTTTAGAGGTAGACAAAGATGGGGGGAAGGTTTTTTCCAGTGTGCATTTTGAAACTCTTTCAAAAGCCACAAATGTGTATGAAACAAATTCTCTAGTCACAAGGATTCAAACCACAGCATTCTTCCCTACTTAACCACTCAAGCAAGCCAAGAATAATCTAGCTGGTCAACTCACATGTAGGAAAACTATAATGTCTACTACTTGGGGAACCTCTAAATATCACTTACACACGTACCTTGGTTTATAAAAACCATTTCAGTATTGTACAAAGGAGAAAGCTATGAATTACCAATTACCAAGAGATTAACAGGACTATGATAATGCACTGTATACTTCGCCTTTAGCAGAATGTAATTCACAAAACTTTAACACATATAAAACTTTTTTCAAACTTAAATGTTTTGTAAAAGAATATATACATATAGGTAATAACTGGAAAATGTTCAATTATATTAATCAATGAAACCTATTAAAATTAGCAAAAATCTAAATAAAATTACCTATATTATGCTGGTAGTTCAAAAGAATAAAAAAAAATTATCAACATATATCATGCACCTTAAAAAAATTTCAGATATTTTGACGTGGTTTAATTCCACTTTCATCAGTCTAGCCCTAAAAAAAACCCCACTAAAATGTAGTATGTGCAAAGATGTTCACTGTAGCACTATCTGTCAAACAGAAAATTGTAAACAGCAAAAGAAAAATGGTAAAATAAATTATAGAACATATACTAGGGAAACATTTTATTTGTTTGTTCATTCATTCATTCACTTACTACTGTGTTTCATAAAGGATTTAAGGTGGCTCATAAAATGATTTATTTATACAACCATGAAAAATTATGTTTAAAAATCATGTGCACAATGAGAAAATGCTCATGAATATTAAGTGGAAAGGGCTGAATACAAGATTGTGTGTGTGCAAAAGTGAGATGTAAGACAAGTATTCTTACCTTTGTTTAACAACATGCAAAGAAGAAAGAGAAATCCATCAAAATGCTAAAAATGGTATTTGTCTGGGTGGTAACATTATAGGTGAATTTTATTCTCTTATCTTTTTAATTTTATAAGTTTTATAAACTAAGTTTATATATAAATATATATATATATATATTTTTTACGGTACGCGGGCCTCTCACTGTTGTGGCCTCTCCCGTTGCGGAGCACAGGCTCCGGACGCGCAGGCTCAGCGGCCATGGCTCACGGGCCCAGCCGCTCCGTGGCATGTGGGATCTTCCCGGACTGGGGCATGAACCCGTGTCCCCTGAATCGGCAGGCGGACTCTCAACCACTGCGCCACCAGGGAAGCCCCTAAGTTTATAGTTTTATAATAACGCTAGTATGTATGAAAAATATAAAAAGGATAAAGATTATTTTAAAAATAAAAAAAAAATCTGCCTCCATATATGATGGCTTATAAGAAAATAGCTCTTCATATATAGCCATTAATGACTTGAAAAAAGAAAACAAAAGTAATATCTAAGTGTAAAAAATCCAGATGGAAATCAGCCTCATGAAATATAAGTTTGTTTTTCGATTAAAGGTATCAACAGAAGAACAGAATAAAGAGATGATATATTATAAGGTTGTGGGGAGGAGAGGAAACTGACATAAAAAAAAAAATACCAGGGCTTCCCTGGTGGCACAGTAGTTGAGAGTCCGCCTGCCAATGCAGGGGACGCGGGTTCGTGCCCCAGTCTGGGAAGATCCCACGTGCCGCGGAGTGGCTGGGCCAGTGAGCCATGGCCGCTGAACCTGTGCGTCCGGAGCCTGTGCTCCGCAACGGGAGAGGTCACGACAGTGAGAGGCCCACGTACCATTAAAAAAAAAAAAAAAAAAAAAAAAATACCAGAGAAAGGCAAGGAATTTTAATCTTGAAATCCAACAGCCTAACAGTGAACTTACGCTAACACGGTTGTCTTATTTAAACTGTAGTTTCAAAAAATACCACATCTATAGACAGAAAGTAGAACTGTGGTTGCCAGGGGCTAGAGGAAGGGGGAATGGGTAATGATTATGTAGTTTCAGTTTGGAAAGATGAAAAAAGTCCTGGAGATGGATGGTGGTGACAGTTCTACAACAATACAAATGTACAGGACTATACACTTATAAATTGTTAAAATGGTAAATTTTGTTATTTAAATTTTACCACAATAAAAAAATACATTAAGGTATGATTTGAAATAGATTATACAGGTAAGGTATATATTCACATTTTTTGAGTTTTCAGCTTTCCTCAAATAAGATTATAAAGATGTGAGCATAACTTATAAAAGAAGTAGTTGTAACTACACTTTAATAGTAACTTTCTCTCAACCAGAGGGTTGTTTATTGTACCTATGTAATAATTCTTCTCATGTAGCCAATGTTTAGTTTTCAAGTATCAAGAAATCATGTCTCATCTACACAAAGGTTTAAAAGTAAAGTAGCCATTAGATTCAAAGTAAAAAGAAACTAGAAGTAAGTGAGGTCACTAATAATTCTGGTGTTTATGCAAATTTATGATAATCAGCTATGAGAATAAATCTCCCCAACAGTAAGCACCATTCTTAGAAATTGGGAAAAAGAGATTAAAGAATTGTCCCCATAGTCCCTGGAAAGAGCCACAGTTATCCTTAAAATGCAGTGGAAGATTTCTGATGATAAAGCATTTTACAAATAGGATTTTTCTAATTTAAAATAATTTTCTGATCATAAAAAAGCAAGGAACAAAATAAGAAAAAACTTTTTAGGACCCAAATTCCATATCCAGTTTTCTCAATTCACTTTAAAAATCTCACTTACCCTTCTAGTGTTTTCAAGGATTTTGGGATCAGGTTTTCCATAGTTAGGTGGATTGGCATACGGGTCATATCCAAGTTTGGCAAGCATGGGTGCAATCACTGCCATGTCTTGTAAAACATCTGGAGGTATCTTCCCAACCCATTTTGATAGAGCTCCCACATTGACTGGCTTGATGACTTGGTCTGTAGATCTCTCCACTCTGAAAACAATATAATGTGAATAAACATGTATTTAGAATACTGAAAACAGTACTGGAAATTTTTTTTTTTTTTTTTGCGGTACGCAGGCCTCTCACTGTTGTGGCCTCTCCCGTTGCGGAGCACAGGCTCCGGACGTGCAGGCTCAGCGGCCATGGCTCACGGGCCTAGCCGCTCCACGGCATGTGGGATCTTCCCGGACCGCGGCACGAACCCGTGTCCCTTGCATTGGCAGGCGGACTCTCAACCACTGCGCCACCAGGGAAGCCCCTGGAAATTATTTTTGATGACTTTAAAAATTACAAGTCTCCAGATTATAAAAGCTATTGAGAAAGAGTGCATTTTTCAGGCTTGACATTACTTACTAGACTTTTTTTTTAATGTTCTCAATCTGACAGCAATTATTGGCAACCTCAGATTCCTAGAAATAGGAAAAACGGTCAGGTGAAAACATCTGCACAGAATGTACTGACATTTTAATTAAAACATTCAGAAAAACATAACAAAGATAAGACTGTTTAGAAAAACAGCTGGTCAACTTACTTGAAATACATAAAAACAAAAACCACAAGTAAATAAGATGGCTTGATGAATGATGACTAGAGGAACATAAAGATGGACAGATTATGTGATAAAGCAAATACAGCAAAATGTTAATTGTAGCTAGTGGGTATAATTCTTTCAGTTCTTTATATGTTTGAAATTTTTCATAATAAAATATTGGGGGGAAAATAGTCAACCATAATCCACTAAGACTGAAAAATATTCATTTGTCCTATTTTTCTGTTGATTTCCTAAAGAACCCTATTTTCTAAGGAAGAAAAAGGAGTGCTATTTATGACTTTCGATATTACAAAATAAATGTGTTCTACCTCCTGACCTAGAAATTTACTTTAAGCTTATAGTGACACTATATTTGACTAAATAACTCATAATCTTAGGGTAAAATATAATCTAAAATGACATCTAGATTGAAATTGGATCTGAACTAGCAGATTTTGGCCAAATGACATTCAAACAAAAGTACCTAAGAGAGTTTTATACCATAATACATTAGAAGTCATTCAAACACAGTATTCTAATAAAAGGTTAAAAAGATCTTTTTCTTTAAGTTGCAGATATCTCGCTGCAGATAACCATTATCTGATGAAGAATCCCTCAAAGGGGCTCCACTCCTTAAAAAATACACAAGAGAGGACTTCCCTGGTGGCGCAGTGGTTAAGAATCCGCCTGCCAATGCAGGGAACACGGGCTCGATCCCTGGTCTGGGAAGATCCCACATGCCGCGAAGCAACTAAGCCCACGCACCGCAACTACTGAGCGCATGCGCTCTGGAGCCCACGTGCCACAACTAGAGAGGAGCCCACACACTGCAACGAAAGATCCCACGTGCTACAACTAAGACCTGACACAGCCAAGTTAATAAATAAAAAGAAAATAAAAATATCTAGTATATAACCAAACATACTTTATTAAAAAAAAAAGAAATAACTAGAGAACATCCAAGTGCTGAACTGCGTGATATTTACTGTGGGTGCACTAGGAACATTAGAGAACGGGAGTCACATCTGCAGAGATAAACATCTCAAGAAAAAAATGCTTTATAGTAAACAAAAAATAACTTCTGTTCATTCTATGTCAGGTACTTTGCATATGATATCTACTTTAATCCTTGAAACAACCTTAAGAGAAATATTATCAGTCCCTATTTTTCAACTGTGTTAACTGAGACCCATAAGTGATTTATCCAAAGTCACACAGTCTGGAAATAATGGAGTTAGAATTTGAACCTACTGAACCTGTCTGACTCCAAAGCATCTGTTTTATCCAGTTTCTCTTACTGCCGTCCTATTGACGTCAAATCACATCTTGATTTTTACATTCTACGCTTCCCTGAAAACTTTGGCCTCTTGTTCTATACTGCATAGACTAAGTGGTTTTGCCACAGTGATAACATACTACACATGTAATAGGTATATACAGGGCTGTGCCGGTAACACTTTACAACCTGATCTCTGAGAAGGGAAAGGTCATAATTTGTAGCATTTACTGATGACCAATGGTGTAAATACTCCCACCATGGATGATTTCAAGCTACCAACATGATGTCATTGACCACAGAGTTGAGAAGAGATGCACAAAAATGGGTTCACTGTAGCTGGCACAATCCAGCTCCAGCAGACCACTGGATATCTATAGGGTCACGATCTCTTGTCCCAGATTCTGAAATCCAAAAACTAAACATTTTCCTGTAACTCATGTGGCAGCAAAACATAACCTGAACTGATAGGAATCTATTTAAAGTCTTTATTCTTCTTGGCATAAACAATCATACTCTTTAATGCAGAAATACTGATGTCCTTGATTATAGCATGTTGACCCAGAACAAACAGAGGGTGTTATATAATATGTGTTATGTACATCATATGACCTTTCTAGAATCCAAAAATTTTGAATTCTGAAACATCTGTGTTAAGCACTGAAGTCACACATAGGGTCTCATATGTCGTGACTGGGAAGTTGGTAATGATAGAAGGGTTTTAATCACAGGACTGACAAGGCTAGATTGTTCTTATCTGCATTCAATGTTGAAAACTATGGGAAGAGTAGATTGAAGGATGGGGTAACCGGGGTCAGAAAAACCAGTAAAGACGTTCAACTATATATTGAAAGAATTGAGAAATGATTAAAGCTCCAACTACAGCAAATGACATAGAGATGGAAAGAAAAAACCTCCATCGATTTGTTTTTTTTAAAAATAAATTTATTTATTTTTGGCTACATTGGATTTTTGTGGGCTTTCTCTAGTAGTTGTGGTGAGCGGGGGCTACTCTTCATTGTGGTACGCGGGATTCTCACTGCAATGGCTTCTCTTGTCATGGAGCACGGGCTCTAGGCAAGCGGGCTCAGTAGTTGTGGCACACGGGCTTAGTTGCTCCGCGGCATGTGGGATCTTCCTGGACCAGGGCTTGAACCCGTGTCCCCTGCACTGGCAGGTGGATTCTTAACCACTATGCCACCAGGGAAGACCCCATAGATTTGTTTTTAATTGATCAGACTTAGTGGTCAATTAGATACGGGGAGGAGAGAAAGGAGTCTAGATGAATTCGTATTTAACTTGAAGAACTGAATGGACCGTGTTTTCATTCATTACAATAGCATGGAGGAAAAGCATAAGTATTGTTGCTTAGTTTTGTTCCAGATGTAGGGAACAAAGGAAAAGAGGTAAATTGATAGTAGTAAGAAAGTTACCAAAAGTCTAAAGGAAAATTAGAGTTGACTAAGAGACTGAAATGTAGTATGTGCTCAGTAAACAATAACTAGTATTATTTTTGCATCCAGAATACAGCACCGGTTCAGAAGAAAAATGAAAGCCATTATTTATCATGATGATTGATTTAAAGATAAAGTCCAACCATCTCTTCTCTGAAAGAGAATTCTAAAATGAAAAGGCTTTTTTTTATGTAACCACTGAGTCACAAGATTCACTAGTAGCAAATGCAGTTGCCATGGACTCCTTAGGGGGAAGAACTTGGGAAGGTATACTGCGTATCACTCAGGTGTTTCTCTTTAAGGCAGCAGTAATGGCATTTTATATTGATTGAGCATAAAATTCATATTAAATATTTTTTGAACACCCACTATGGGTCAGGTCAAGTGTTAGATACTAAGTATGCAAAGATGACATGACTAGGTCATGGCCTTCCTCTCAAGAAGCTCAGAGTCCAATAAGAGAGATAAGCATACACATGATTAATATGCAGCATGATAAATGTGATGACAGAAGTTAGAAACCATATTATGGCAATGCAGATGACAGAACTAGGTCATTCCTCTCCTAGGGTCTGACATGAGTCAGCGTTAGTTACCAAGTAGCTAAGGTAAAGATTAGTAATCTATGGGTCACAGGCCAAATCCAGTCCTACTGCCTGTTTTTGTCTGGCCTTCAAGCTAAGAATGGCTTTACATTTTTAAATGTTTTTTTAAAAAAATCAAAAGAATAATATTTTAAACACATGAAAATCATATGGAATTCAAATTTCTATGCCACAAAGTGGTTTTTTTGTTTGTTTGTTTGGCCATGCCATGCAGCATGCAGGATCTTAGTTCTCCAACCAGGGATTGAACCCATGCCCCCTGCACTGGGAGCACAGAGCCTTAACCACTGGACCACCAGGGAAGTTCCCAAAAAGGGTCTTTTCTTTTTGGCTACACAGCATGTGGGATCTTAGTTCCTGGACCGGGGATTGAACCCGCGCCCCCTACAGTGGAAGCAGGGATTCTTAAAGTAAAAACACAGAACACAAAAGATGAACGTTAAATGGCATATAGAAAAGGGACTGAAAATTAGACTGACTGCAGATTTCTCAACAACAACAACTACAACTAGTGGACAATGGAATAATACCTTCAAAGTACCAAGAGAAAATTACTGCCAACCCAGACTGAATAGAACAAAAATAATCTTCCAAAAATTAAAGACTTTTTCAAATAAATCTTAGAATAAAATAAAAATCCTAAGTCCATACTATGTACAAATGTAAGCAGCAAAAACTGAACAAAACCCCATCTTTTAGGCAAAATATACTTGGGAAAAGGGACCACTGGAGTCTAAAGAGTATTATAAGAAACATCCTCATTCTTTTTGACAGTTTTCTCTCACCTCTTTGCCCTAATCGTGGCACCCAGCACGCAGAAATGCATAGTGATGGTGCAGGCAGCTAAAACGCTGAGTGAAAGCCATATTTCTGGCCAGAATAACAAGAAATGTAGCCTCTGGGAGCCAGGGAGTGTTAGGGAGAAATCAAGGGAAAGAGAGAGCCCGACAAGATGGGAATAAAGACACAGGCCTACTAGAGAATGGACTTGAGGATATGGGGAGGGGGAAGGGTAAGCTGTGACAAAGTGAGAGAGTGGCATGGACATATATACACTACCAAACGTAAAACAGATAGCTAGTGGGAAGCAGCCGCATAGCACAGGGAGATCAGCTCGGTGCTTT